CTAATGCATCTCACAATGTTTCATAAAGTCCACTTAATTTTTGATCCTCTTCCTCCCCTACAACCTCCATCACACAGAACAACTAGGTTATAAGGCCAGGACTCCATGATATAGCTGGACTTTGCATTCATGTATGCACACACACACGTACACACACATACACACAAATTTGAAGGAAAAGAAGCTTTCATCTGAATGCAGGCTATGCAAGTGGCTTCTGTGCTTTAATTCTGACAAATTCTTCCTTCTTGGATATGTGGTGCTTTTCTTACACGAATTAAAAGTCAAACAGAGTGTGTTGGAGTTCTCACTTAGAAATGTGAACAGGTCATCTGGTCCTTGAAGGCTACCTCACTATCCTAGCTAAGTTACCAACTATGGCAGAGTTTTATCAAGAGAGAAAGTGGCTATTAACAATCAAGATTATTAGCGTCCAAAACAAGAAAAGCTCAATGGCTGTGCATATTTATGGTTGCTTAACACAATGCACATAATTGTTAGGGGGCTTCCTGACTTCAGCTCCCCGCTGTATGAAGAGGGAGCAGAACGCACACATCCCCCTTTAGCCATGTTCAACCACGGGCTGAAGTACCCTCTTCTTACTCCTTGGATATGGCTTCTGTTTGCATCAACTACATTGTGGATGCCTTTGGATGATGTAAACCTCTTCATATGAAACAGAGTAAGTCCAGAAACAAAGCATGCATTGGTTTTCCAGCAAGTCTGGTGGGGTCAGACAATCAGAGGGTTCTGTAAGGGCTGAGACCACTCCTTGTATGAACAGAGACTGCCTCTCATTTGTCTGCTTGAGTCTTACCCCACTTCTAACCTCTGCCACCCCAAAGGGAATTCTACTGCAAAAAACAATAGCAGTGTTCGCACAGCTTCTCATTCAATATTCTCCTTTATTGGCAAAAAGTTTCTTTACAGTTCGCATCTAGACTCTAGGCCAAGTTCAAGTAAAGCTTCCTTTTTAAAAAATTTATGCTAACTGTGAGTTAGAGTGCAAGGCTATTTCCTTTTGATTCTCCTTGCTTTTTGCTCTGTTAACCACTAACTGACTTTTCCTCTCTCTTACTCTTTCCTTCCCCATTTTGACTTAAAATCTGTTATTTCTCCTTATCAACTTCTAGCAGCCTCTTCTAGCACTTACTGAATGCTGAACTCTATCTCTGGGATGCTGGCTGGGATGGGGCAAGCATAACATGAGTGTGGGTGTAAAGCTATGTATTGGAAGAAGCACTGGAGAATCCACGTGGAGAATTTATAGCTATTGGTGGGTCTATGTAAGATGACCAACAAGAAATAGATCAGCACTCAGGCAACAGAAAGATATATTGCTATTGTAGGATCTAAATAAGGGATGGAGCCAAAAGTTATAATCTAGATAAGGTAAAGTGTGTTAGGAGGCAAAACTAAAGCCAGAAATAGAGCACAAGATCTTTCGTCATGAGCAACATCATTCAGAGCTTCCTTCTATACCATATCAGCTGGGTGATGTATTTGTGAATCAAACCCAGTTAGATTAAATCACCGAATTCAAGCAGACTTATCTTTATGCCTTTATAATTGTCTGCTTCATATTAACATATTTATACAGTTGTTTTGTCTTAATATTGAAGACCCTGGTTGACTCATCTTGGTATACGCCACAATCCCTAGCATATAACTCCATTACAAAATGATTCATCTCTAAACATATGAATTGAAGACAGGACTAGGGTGTTATTTTAATATCCTAACTTGGGCAGTTACTCTGTGGAATATGAACTGCACGAAAAATGAAATGAATAATTATCTGTGCCAGCTACTTGCACAGCATTTATCTTGCTTCATCCTTATAACACCTTACAAAGTTGTTGTGAGAATTAAATTAAATGAGATAACCCAAGTCAACAGCTTATTATACGTTTGGCATATAAGTGCTTAATGTCATTATACTTATTGTATTAACCATATAATATTACGCAGTTGTATTTTCAGCACACACCAGCTGGCAACTGTGGATGAGGTAGACTGACTAGATGATCGCTCACCAATCCTGCTTCCTTTTCCTGAGCACATAGGAAGTCTCCATTTTCCAGCCCCATTTGCATCTGGGTGGGACAATGTGACTCAGTTCTAGCCAATGGTATGTGGGTAGAAGTTACCACTTCCAAGGTTGGCTATAAACTAACCTGTGAAATCTTATGCTTCCTCTCTCCCCCTTACATGGGGCTAGAAGAGAAAGATTCTGCAATAGAAGAGCCACGTGATGGGAAGAGCCTGGATTCCTGAGTCTTCTATGGAGGAGAGCATCCTGACTCACATCAGGCTATGATGTGAGCAGAAAACAAACTTTTATTGTTTAAGCCACTGAGATTTGGGGACTTATTTGTTATTGTAGCATACACAGCTGACCTTATCCTGAATAATACGGTGCTATTGAAGAAAAGGAAACAAATATGATTTAAATTAGTTATTTGAAAACACTAATTACCAAATAAGGCAGAAGTAAAGATTCACACATGAAATGAATCTGCAAAATTGTGTGTGGAGTTTTTGGAAAGCAACAGGGCATCATTCTGCTGGGAAATTAAGTCCCATGTCTGTACGTTGACAATAATGGCAGAGCTGGGACATGAATCAGGCGAGTCTGACTCTAGGACCAGTACTTTTCTTCACTACATCCTTCATCGGTTTGGGATGAACCAGTGGAGGTGCCTCCTGCAAGAGTCAGTGATAAGGAACAAGATCTCAGGGGCCAAACTAGATTGAATGATGTATTAGCTGAGGGCTTTTAGAGGTGAAGGATGGTGGGAAAAGACAGAACCAAAATGTAAGGCTAAAGAAGCAGTGCTGGAAGTTCAGAATGGTGAGATGTGCCACAAGTAGGAAAGCAAATTACGAGGCCAGAAGTTAAAAGAGAGGGAAAAGGTAGAAGTGTAGAGCGATGGAATCAAAAAGAGAGGCTCAAGCTGCAGACTGAATCATAGGAGGGTGTTGGAAGCAGGTTTTAATGTGAAGTTGGCCAAGGGGACAGCCATGTTGGACAGGACCCAGCAGGGTAAACTCGAGGCAAGAGAGTGAGTACAGCAGGAAACCCCATAAAAATCCCTACAAATACCCGGTAAAACTTCTGTGTCATGATCATGGAATATAGAAATGCACTACGTGTAAAGACGAGCTCCATCATCACTTAGGGTGGTCAGGTTTGGGGTTCATGGTTTTTCCAGAAAGATCAACCACCTCATCTCCAATTTTTCTGAGCAGCAGTCACATATATTTTAAGAGCTCACTCAGCTCTCATTGGTATAGACATATAAGTAGCTGGAAAAACTACTGAATAGCATTATTAAATACACATTGTTGAATATGTTTTTGGTCTCCTGGCACCCATTCCCATTCTTTTGCTAACAGAACTTGTATTTTGGGGGTGAATTGCCTCTCTCATTTTGTACAGTTATGATAAGATGTCTCTCATGGTGCCCTAGTCTCCCTAGTGAAAGAACGGGCCCCAAACTCAAGTTAAATCAATACTCTCTTCCAGGATTTTGAATATTGAGCAGAATAATGCAAGGATGGGAAAAACAGTGAAAGTCCATTAATCCCTGTGGTCCCCCAGGCCTACTCTGGTTCTTTTCTTCTCTAAGCCTGGTCCCAGAGCCTTCTGATGCAATCTGTGGGCTACAATGATCTTTGGTGAAGTGTGGAGGAAGGGGACCCAAGATCAGACGGGAAGGTTGGGTAAGCTTGGAAGAGCCTGAGGTGTCAATTCCACAGAGCAAGTGGAGACCAAGAACCCCAAATAGAGTCAGGCATCTGCCTAAGAGCTCCAGCAAGTGGAAGCAATCAGATTTAGGAGTTGTACTGTGGAAAGACTTCCTGATTAATTTCGAAGAGTGGTAGAGCAGGCAGAATGTTTTTTGGTTGCAAGTGACAGAAAACCAGCTTGAACTAATTTAAGGGGGAAACAAGACTTTACTGCTTTATGTAGCAGCAATGCAATAGGAACAGTGATTCTATAATTTATCATCCACCTGGAACACTTCTGAGACTGAAAGAGGGAGCCGTTAATGATTAAGCTGGGACAACAGGCGTAAACTGGGACTGCCTTGGGCAAACTGGGATGTCTGCTCATCCTAGTGTTAGGAAATCAGGATGAATAAAACCCAAAAGGCTACCAGAGATCTCTCTCTCTCTGGGTAGCTGTTACTTTTCTCTACGTTCTACTTCTCTTGTGTGGGCTTTTTTTCACGTAAGCTTATGCAGCAAGGGACATAGCTGCCAGAAGGTCTGGGCTCAAATGCTTACAGCTTACTAATCAGACAGGAAAGGATGCTCGTCCATCTGCTCCAGTATGAAACATCCTGCCACAGAATTCCAAGTAGTCTGGCATATGTCACATGACCATCCCCAAACCCATCTTTGTGAACAAAAAGATGGATTCCTACCTTTGGTTCACCTTTGGTCATATGTCCTTTCCGTGTCAAAGATACAGGAGTACTAATCAATAGTCCCAATAGTTTGAAGTAGCATTTCACAAAAGAGAAGAGTCTCTGGGAGACAAAACCACACATATCTACCATGACAGCCTTTTATAGAGTGCCTGATGCCAAGGGCACCAGCAGTATGGGAACATAAAACACAGCTGTCAGAACGCTGGCGTTACTTGGGAAATGGGCAAAACCACGAACTCTGCAACCCTGGAAACCCTTTGCAATCCACTTTGGCGAAGTGGATTGCTCTAATCCTTTATATCTAGTATATAATAGTCCATTAGAGATATGTGAGGACCAGGACTCGGTGTTCCTATGAACCTCTAGACTTCTCAAATGAAGAGAACTTACCCCGAAAAGCCATTGGCAGAACCATAAGTGCCCTGGACACCTCAAGTTTTAAATGGGGAGTTGGGGAACAGAAAGGAAAGCTGGGACTTCACAGAAAAGTGTTGAGAAAGAAGATTGCTGGAGGCAGACGTCCCTTCCATCCCAGCTTGGCCAAGCTCCCGGTTCTGCCACTGCTGGCTCCTGTTTCAGCCCCATTGTTGGAAAGCACAACCATTTATGATGAAACTTGGAAGATAGAAAGATGCTACCTTCTGCCATCCTGGTATGATCCTCTCCACCTTGCAGAAGATCTCTTGGTGGCTAAAACTCACCAGCAGTCTGCTTGTCCCCAGGCCAGCCCTTCTCCTGGAGAAAAAGGAGTGGATAAATGTGTGGAAGTCTGACTGGGAGACTGTCGGCTCCCACCCAAAGGAGAGACTCAGCCCAGCGACAGGGTGGAGAGCGAGGCCCAGCGGAATGCGATTTCGCAATGGGCCCCTTGCCACTACAGGGAACACAGTGTTTACTGGAGAAAGCTCTCCAACCTCAAAGTCATCTGTGCTTTCCAGAAAACTGCTGCCTTAACTCTAATAAATAACCAACAGTTCAACTCAAGCCTTTTTGGAGCAGATGGGGCTATCCTTGACACAGTGCTGAACAGCAGGAATGCCGCCTGCAAGCCCCACCTTTTGGAAACAGCCAGCAAGGCTGAAAATTCTCGAAGCTGTCACCATGCGTTGTAGCTCCAGATTATAAATGGGAGATTCCACAACAGGCTATTTATTAGTAGGTAAATTCTCTCTTGCTAGGCTGTATCTGGACAAGTCACAGGAAATTCTTCTTGGAACTAAACAGTAAGTGAATAAACAAACAATAACATCTGGTTCAGGATAAGTAGCTAATGAAATATGTCATAGCCCACCTTGGCCCAGAGTTCAGGTTAATAAAACAAATTACTGGTAGTTGATAAATCATCTCAGTGCTAGTCTATCTATGGTCAGTGTACATATTGCCTGTCCTATTTTGTTCACTTGTTCTTTTAAATGTTTCTTCTCTCTTCTTTCATCGTTCAAGACAGAATATTTCTTTTTTAACTTTTAATTCCACATATGTTGATTGCTGTTGTCCCCTTCTGGACTGAGGGACTCATTCGCCTGCCTGCGGGCCAATGGCTCTTGGCTAAGCCCCTCTCCAGTACAAGCCCTCTGCTAGAGAGAGCTGCCTCATGTTATTCACAATAGCCAAGGTATGGAAACAACCTAAGTGTCCATCAGTGGACGAATGGATCAAGAAAATGTGGTATATATACACAATGGAATATCATTCAGCCTTAAAAAAGAAGTAAATCCTGCCATTTGCAACAAGATAAATGAACCTGGAGGGCATTATGCCAGACAAAGAGCCAGACAAAGACATGAGCCAGACAAAGACAAATATCACATGATATCACTTATATGTGGAATCTAAAAAAAAAAAAAAGTCAAACTTATAGAAACAGAGAATAGAAAAGTGGTTACCAGGAGGTAGGGGTGGGGGAAATAAGGAGGGGTTGGTAAAAGGGTACAAACTTTCAGTTATAAGAAGAATAAGGTCTGAGGATCTAACGCATACCCTGGTGACTATAGTTGATAACATTGTATTGTATAACTGAAATTTTCTAAGAGAGTAGAACTTAAATGTTCTTACCAAAAAAATTTTGTTAAAGGTGAAAACAAAAAAAGAGAGAGAGAGGTGCCTCATCCAAGATCATGCCCCCTTCCCTGAGGGCAGGTCACATCTTTAAAGAAAGGACTGACTTGCTGACCAGAAAGTACACCAAGACTTGAAGAGCCACTTCTCTAAAGAGAATATGTGATCATTGTGGATGTATAAAGGCCTGACCCCTTCACTCCAATTTGGGACGACTCTAAAGGGTCAGCCTATCTCCAGAGCTCCTTGTGGTAGTCGCCAAGGCCCTTGTTTCAACTGCTTCCCAGTTGCCTGCTCTCTCTGCTCAGTCATGCATTGATTCTATCAAAGATACTGTTCCCTAGAACACCTACCCCAATAAACTTCTTACATACAAATCTCCACCTTAGAGTCTGCTTCCAGATAACCTACCCTTGATAACGTATAACGTAATCACAGAAAAGTGCATTGATCATAATCATACAGCTTCACGAATTTTTACAAAATGAACACTCTTATAATCAGCATACGAATCAGGAGACATCTCACATGCTTTTTCCCCATAACTAAGAGTAACCACTATTATCATTTCTGACAGCATAGATTTGCTTTGTTTTACTGCTGTATCTAAATGGTATCATATAGTATATACTCTTTTTGTGTCTGGCTTCTATTACTCAACATTTTATTTGTGAGATTCATTCATGTTTTGCATAAGGTTGTACATAATTCATTCCCATTGCTATACAGTATTTCATTATGAGAATATAATGCAGTTTATTTTTCTACTCTTTGGTTGATGGGTGTCTCGGTTGTTCCAGTTTGAGGAAACTACGAATGGCACTGCAATGAACATTCTAGAATACGTCTTTGGATAGGCATAAGCACTCATTTCTATAGGGAATTGCGTATATTTAGTTTTAGTGCATACTGCCAAACACTTTTCCAAAGTGGTTGTACCAGGTTACATTGTCACTTGCAGTGCATAAGCATTAAGACCAACACTTGGTGTTTTTGATCCTTTCGATTTCAGCCACTGTGGTGAGTGTGTGGTGGAGGTATATTGTGGTTTTAATTTGCATTTCCCTGGAGGTCAATGAAGCTGAGCACGTTTTCGTATGTTTATTGGCCATTTGGATATTCTCCTTTGAGAATGTCTGTTCAAGTCTTTGCCCATGTTCTTTTGGGTTATCAAGACAATCCTTTATTTACCGATGACTGTTGGGAGACCCTACAGAGACCATCTTTAGTAGAGAGGAAAGAGGAATGGTATTTGGCCAAGGGCAGAGCAAGGGACAGATGAAGAAAGCATGCAGGAAGGCATGTAGGAGATGATAAACATGGGTTTCAAAGCTACTGAAAAAGAGAAGCAGAAATGAGATTCATCCACAGCAGCAAAACCATAGACCCATGTGGGGAAAAGCAAATTGAGTTGGGGTCAAGGAAGGCATGGACACAGAAGGGGTCCAGCTGTTTGATGCAGTAAAGCCAAAGTGGTGGCTCTGAGCGGGTGCCAGCAAGAATCACAAGAATGCACTCAACTAATGAGATTCTACATACAAGAGAAATGTTATTCTTGATGGCCAAAATAGCTAGAAAAGGCTGTGTTTCCTAGGTAGCATCCAAAAAGAGGTTAGAATGAAACAGAATGTTTATTGTTAGTCTTGTGTATCAAGGCAGAGTTGGGAGATCATTAAGTGGATACCACGGTTTTAGAGCAGAAGAGGGTGTGCACTTTTTTCAGGCTTACTCAACCACTACATATGAGACATAACAAGGACATAGTGACCTAGAACACAAAAACATCATTATCCAGGCAGCTCTGTTCCTGGGGAGCAGCCCACAACCTGGAGCAGCAGGAGGCAGCCGCAGTCAGATCATCCATGAGTTTGCAACCTCTTTTTGCCTATCTATGGAATTAGCCCTCCCCACACCCCAGCTCTGGCATCAGACGAGTCCTTACCTGCCTCAGGGAATTTTGAAGCTATTTTGAACTCTGCTTTTCTGTTAGTTTGACCTGAAAGGGGTTCATCATGCTGACTCATGGATCCCTATGGATGACCCTAAAAACTGGGACCCCGTTATGCCCTTTTCAGACCCCTGTCTGAGGACTTGTGCTCTAGCAAAGAACTTACTGCTTTGCAAGAACAGGGTCTCTTAAGGGAACTTTTATTTTAGAGATGGGGCAAAGGTGGAGAAAGGAGAAACTTTCCACAAACCTAGTCTAATTTGTTGATCCTGCAGGAACTTGGTGCCTATTAGTTAGTAGACAGGGACTGCAGAAAAAAAAATTACTTTCACATTTTTATTCAGTGATATTCTTATTGCACATCTGCTGTGTGCTTGGTGATATGCAGCCTGGAGATACAGCAGGAAACAGGACACACAAAGTCCCTAATGAAGCATTTATTCCAGTAGGCCAGATAGACATTATGCAGGTAACATCAGTGAAATATAAGAATAGGGAAGCTCAGGGAACTTTCCCTTGGAGAGGTTAACCTTGTTTTATGTTTTTGTTGTTTAATAGGAGGAAAAAATTGAAACACTCTAAGCACAGGATCTATGCCAGTGGTTCTCAACTGGGACTGATTTTGTCCCCAGGGGACATTTGGCAATGCCTGGAAACATATTTGGAGCACCTAGTGGGTGACATCCCTGGATGCTGCTGAACATCTTACAGTGCACAAGACAGTCCCCTACAATAAAGAACTATCCAGTCCCCAACAAATGGGATAACCCAGGAGACATGGATAAATTCTTAGACTCACACAACCTCCAAAAACTGAATCAGAAGATACAGAGAACCTGAATAGACCAACCACAAGTAAAGAGATTGAAACGGTGATCAAAAACCTCCCCCAAAACAAAAGTCCAGGACCAGATGGCTTCTCTGGAGAATTCTACCAAACATTCAAAGAAAATTTAATACATATCCTTCTCAAACTATTCCAAAAAATTGAAGAAGATGGAATGCTTCCTGACTCATTCTATGAGGCCAACATTACCCTGATACCAAAACCAGACAAGGACAACACAAAGAAGGAAAATTACAGGCTGATATCACTGATGAACATAAGTGCAAAAATCCTCTACAAAATATTGGTAAACCGAATACAGCAATACATTAAAGGGCCATACACCATGATCAAGTGGGATTTATACCAGAGACACAGGGATGCTTTAACATCTTTAAGTCAATCAATACACATCATTGATTGACTGATACACCACATTAACAAAATGAGGAATAAAAATCACATGATCATCTTTATAGATGCAGAGAAAGCATTTGACAAGATCTAACATCCATTTATGGTAAAAACTCTCAATAAAGTGGGTACAGAAGGAAACTACCTCAACATAACAAAGCCCATATACGACAAACCCACAGCCAACGTCATACTCAATGGGGAAAAACTGAAAGCCATCCCTCTGAGGACAGTAACAAGACAAGGGTGCCGACTCTCACCACTCCTATTCAACATAGTACTGGAGGTTTTGCCCAGAGCAGTTAGGCAAGAAAAATAAATAAAAGGTATGCAAATTGGAAAGAAGAAGTGAAACTCTTGCTGTTTGCAGACCACATGAGCCTATATGTAGAAAACCCTAAAGAATCCACCAGAAAACTATTAGAAATAATCAACAACTACAGCAAAGTTGCAGGGTACAAAATCAACTTACAAAAATCAGTTGCATTTCTATACACTAATAATGAACTAGCAGAAGGAGAACTCAAGAAGACAGTCCCATTTACAATCACAACCAAAAGAATAAAATATCTAGGAATAAATTTAACCAAGGAGGTGAAAGACCTATACACTGAAAATTATAAGACATTATTGAAAGAAATCGAAGATGACATAAAGAAATGCAAAGATATTCCATGTACATGGCTTGGAAGAATAAACATAGTTAAAATGTCCACATTACCTAAAGCAATCTACAGATTCAAAGCAATTCCAATCAGAATCCCAATGATATTCTTCGTGGAAATAGAACAAAGAATCCTAAAATTTATATGGAACAACAAAGGACCCTGAATAGCTAAAGCAATCCTGAGGAAAAAAACACAGCTGGAGGCGTCACAATCCCTGACTTCAAAGTATACTACAAAGCTACAGTAATCAAAACAGCATGGTACTGGCACAAAAACAGACACACAGATCAATGGAACATAATTGAAAGCTGAGAAATAAAACCACACATCTATGGACAGCTAATCTTCAACAAAGGAGCCAGGAACATATAATGGAGAAAGGAAAATTCTCTTCAATAAATAGTGCCAGGAAAACTGGACAGCCACAAGCAAAAGAATGAAAGTAGACCCTTATCTTACACCATACACCAAAATTAACTCAAGATGGATTAAAGACTTGAATGTAGCACCTGAAACCATAAAACTCCTAGAAGAAAATATAGGCAGTACGCTCTTTGATGTTGGTCTTAGCAGAGTGAACTTTTTGAATACCATGTCTACTCAGGCATGAAAGACAAAATAAAAAATGAACAAATGGGACTACATCAGACTAAAGAGCTTCTGCAAGGCAAAGGAAATCATGAACAAAACAAAAAGACAACCCACCAACTGGGAGAAAATATTTGCAAATCATATATCCAACAAGGGTTTAATTTTCAAAATATAAAAAGAACGCATACAACTCAACAACAACAAAAACCGACAACCTGATCAAAAAAAGAGCAGAGGATATGAACAGACATTTTTCCAAAGAAGATATGCAGATGGCCAACAGGCACATAAAAAGAAGTTCAACATCACTAATTATTAGGGAAATGCAAATCAAAACTACAATGAGATATCACCTTACACCTGTTAGAATGGCTGTGATTACGAAAACAAAAAATAACAAATGTGGGAGAGGACGTGGAGAAAAAGGAATCCTCATACACACCCACAGCTGGTAGGTGTGCAAACTGGTGCAGCCACTAGGGAAAACAGTATGGAGATTTCTCAAAAAATTAAAAATAGCAACACCTTATGATCCAGCTATCCCACTACTGGGTATTTATCCAAAGAACTTGAAATAAAGAATTCAGAGACTTATGCACCTCTATGTTCATTGCATCATTATTCATAATAGCTAAGATGTGGAAGCAACCCAAGTGTCCATCAACTGATGAATGGATAAAGAAGATGTGGTATATATACATACAATGGAATACTACTCAGCCATAAAAAAGACAAAATCGTCCCATTTGCAACAACATGGATGGACCTGGAGGGTATTATGTTAAGCAAAATAAGCCAGACAGAGAAAGACAAACACTGCATGATTTCACTCATATGTGGAAGATAAACAAACACATGGATAAATAGAACAGATTAGTAGTTGCCAGAAGGGAAGGGCATTGGGGGTTGTATAAAAGGGGTAAAGGGGCACATATATACGGTGACGGACAAAAACTAGACTATTGGTTGTGAGCACGATGCAGTCTATACAGAAACTGACAAATAATGATGTACACCTGAAATTTCACAATGTATAAACCATTATGACCTCAATAAAATAACTGAAGAGAAAAAAAGAAGTATCCAGCCCAAGACATCAATAATGACAAGGTTTAGAAACCCTGATCTATACTATATGGCTAATACTTCAATACCTTGCCTAAACATTGTACAGTATACAGGATAGCGCCCACAGCAAAGAATTATCTGACCCCCAAATTTCAATAGTGCTGCAGTTGAGAAACCTTGTTCTGCACTAAATCCTGGCTCTTTCTAAGCCCAGGAGTAGCTTTTTCTTTTTTCAATCAAATTCTTTGGTATTATATTTACTACAAATAATTTGTTAGCACTTATAATGGGCCAGGTATTGTGCTAAGAACTTTGCATTCATTATCTCATTTACTCATTGGGAAAATATGAGATGAAAAAGATTATCCTCATTTTACAAACAAGGAAGCAGGTTCAAAGAGATTAAATAATGTCCCCAAGGTCACACATCTCATAAGTGGCAGAGGCAGCATTTGAAACCAGGCTTGACAAAGTCTAGGCCTTTAACTGCCTCACTCTCCTCCCTCTTGTGATAATGTCATTGCTTTGCATTTTTATGAGGTTTTGTAGTTTTCAAAGCACTTGTACAAGATCATCCCCAAAGCATGGGTTTATGGTAAAGCATTGGCTTGAAGTCTAATGTGTGTTTGATCCTCTCTTACTCTGTGACCTTAGAGAAATTACTTGACCTCTTTTGGCCTCAGTATTCTCATCTCTAAAATGAGAGCATTGAACTGGATGATTTCCAAGGGCGCTTCCAGTTCTAATCTTTTTACTGATAAATGATATAAGGTAAAACTGCAATCTGTATCATTGGCTATCAGTCTTCTCAATTATAGCACACAGGAAGAGATTCATTTTGCATGATGACTCAGTACATACACAAATATAACTGAAATATAAGTTTTACAGAGCATACAGAAATTGTCAGATCCACTAGGTTATGCTGCAGTAATAAGCAACCCCAAAATCTTAAAGCAATCAAGATTTTATTCTGGCTCATGTCATGTGCATCATGAGGTGGCTGGGGATTCTGTCCCACTTTTTCCTCATTCCAGGACTCAGGCTGATGGAGCAGCCTCCATCTCAAAGGTCACCAGTCTTGGTGGCAGAGGGAAAGAGAGCGTGGAGAATCCCACACTGGCACTTAAAACTTCCACCCAGAGTGACTTATGTTACTTCTGCTCACATTTCTTTTGGCCAAGTCATATGGTCACACCTAACTTCAAGGGGGTGGGTAAATGCAATTCTACCATGTGCCTGGGAAAAAAACCAAAAATATCTGGTGAACAGCATGAATGACTACCACAAATACATACTGTGATAGATAATTTTATGTGTCAAATTGGCTGGGCCACAGTGCCCAGATACTAGGTCAAACGTTATTCTGGATGTTTCTGTGAGGATGTTTTTAGATGAGATTCACATTTAAATCAGTGGACTTTGAGTAAAGCAGATTGCCTTCCACAATGTGGATGGGCCTCATCCAATCAGTCGATGGTCTGAGTAGAACAAAAGACTGACCATCCCTTAGCAAGAGGGAATTCTGTCAACAGATGGCCTTTGGACTTGAAATGCAACCGTGTCTCTTCTTGAGTCTCCAGCCTGCTAGCCTACTCTGCAGATTTTGGTCTTGCTAGCCTCTATAATCATATGAGCCAATTCCTCAAAATAATTTTCTTTATATATGTATATACCCATCCTACTGGTTCTGTTATTCTGGAGAATCCTGACTCATACACCCAGCCATACCACATAGGATGCATTCTGATGGGTTTTCTTTTCAATTCAATTGAGTTCTATTCTATCCTACCCTATTCTATTCTACTTCATTTTTTTTAATGCTAGTCACAATCCGATAAGTTTATTTGAAACTCGCCTCTGGACTGCAATCATAAACTTCAAAAATACTGGCTTATATACAATAGGACGTTAAATAGTTAATAGTAAGCCCTGATTTTAACCAATCAGAGATTATTTTATTGGTTTTACACAGGAAATGTAATAGTGTCCATGTTTCTGCTCAAAAGGAAAACAAAACAAATCAGAACCCTGCTTTATTTTAGCACAATTAGCAAAACTCTCTTCTCATCAAAGGAAGCAAACTCGAGTCACATTCATTGAAACAGCAGGAGCAGATTATTGATCTGGCAGAACAGGTGCAAACCCTACGTGATTGAACTGAGCAGATGTCCAGAGTCAGGCTGCAATATTTAGCAAACAAAGAAAAGCCATCCCTTGGATAAAAGATGTTATAGGTTGCATTATTAGGAAGCCCCCAGTACCTCAGACTTTATGAAACAACAATAGAATTTGTTGGGATAGTGAACTCACCCTCTAGAATGAGAATTATTTACACTTTACTATACAATCAACTTTCCATAATTATATAGCTCAAACTCTAGTTACTATACAATGGTATTCTGCCAGAGAATATCAATTACTCTTCACCAAGGAACTGCTGGAAATCGTTAGTTTGTATCAGTAAGTCTGTCCCAACAAATTCTATTGTTGTTTCATAAAGTCCCGGGTTAAAGAAACCCTCTAGGAGTTGTTACAAATAGATATATGAAATGGACAGACCTTACCTATTTAAAACAGTTGTATCCAGGTACAGAGTAGGAGAAACCATGTTTTACATGGCCAATGCATACAGGCCATGCTGGTTGTATACAGCACAACTGGGGACACATTCACACAGACTTTGAGGAATGGTGCCCCTGGAGTTGTGCAACATGGTGGCATTGGCCAGATAAGCAGTCTCCTGTATAGCATGTGCCTTGTAGGGCTTTTTCCCTTGGGCTCTACCAGGTAACCAAAGCTCATAGCACAAGGTGATGGACTCAAAAATATTCTTTGACTCTATTTCCATATGAAGGAAGTGAGCCTTTATGAAATGGTGGTGGGGGCACCACCAAAGTGTCATAGCTGATAAGACACCAAGCCATTACAGTAACTTAGACCAGTGTTCTTCTCTCTGCTCCTCTGTCTACTCTCTATTTCACTCTTTCTAGTTGAAGAGCAAACAACAACAAAAAAATAAAAAACCCAAACAAAAAACAATTGACAATCTTTGAGACAATGCAATAATGGAATTTTTAAACTGGGAACGTGTGGTTGAACATAGGTATGTAAAGATAGAATAAATGTCTAAATTCTCAGTGACTATAACAGTTCACTTTCAGGGAACTTGACCTGATTTATGACACTCCTGAAGACAGGAATTAAAAATGGTGTCGCCAAAAGGTTGGGCTTCATATGATAAGGCATGAAAGAAAGAAAAGGAGTCCTAAAATCTGGAAGCTTCTCCCACCCAGCTGGAAGCTTGGTGTTGTCTTTGCACCTATAGCTTTCCAATGAGTCAGAAGTTACCTGAAGGCTTGGATCTGCCTCCTGCTTTGTTGTTTACTTAGGAGAAGTCCAAGCAAAGAGTCACATAGCTTAAAAACTGTAAAAAGAAGCAAGTGATTTGTCTTGCCTATTAAAAAGGTGAGAACCATTGAAAAGATTAATGGAGCCTCTTCCTTTCTGCTGAAAGCAACCCCACACACTGGGGGTGGGGGGTAAAAGTGAACTGTGAAGAAGAAGAGAGAAGGGAAGGCAGGTCTAGGAGTTGGTGGATTGTGGTTGTGTGTGGATCTGTGTTTGTGAGAGGGCATGCACGACAGTCTTTTTTCTTTCTTTCATTTTTTTTTTTTTTTGGTGAGGAAGATTGGCCCTGAGCTAACATCCGTGCCCATCTTCCTCCACTTTGCATATAGGATGCCTCCACAGCAGGGCTCAATGAGGGGTCTGTGCCTAGGATCCAAATCTATGAACCCAGGGCCACCAAAGCAGAGCACGTGAACCTAACTACTATGCTGCCACCGGGCAGGCCCCACAACAGTCTTTCTGCAATGAGAAGATAGAAACTCAGGTGGGTCCTGGTCCACAGAGACCTTCAGTTTTTTGAAGAGATGCTAACCTCAAATGCCTAAATGATGGTTGGATGATGAAAATTTGTGGAGAGACAGGGACTAGGACAAGAGAGAGCAGTGGGGCTACCGTTCGAGTTGAACGCGCGCTTCTCCGAAAGCATTCAATTCACATCATTGCTGGTTTTAAAACAAAATAGAACAAAACCACTGCTCTAACAAAACAAAACACCTCTGCAGGCTCAATTCTCGCCTCAACCCACACGTTTATAGTCCCTGATTGAAAGGGTCAGAAGCTGGAGAGAGCTGCGCCTTTGCATTTTCTGAAGGTCACAGTCTGCCATTCAATGTTTCTTTCACTTGCCACTCCAGTCTTGTCATAAGTACAGTCTTACTCAGGCAGTTTACTCAAGAACGTGGTGATAATTCTTCCTGGAGACCAGGGTAGAGTGAATCATATTAATTATATCCAGGTGTGGCTATTTATAGGCTAGGTTTTAGAATCTATACCAGTAAATATAAATTAAAGATGATTTTGTATTAATCAGTACAATCTGGGTATGAGAATGTGTTGATTTGTAGCACTATTTGAGCTTTGTCTCTTTTAGCAAGCTAAAACCATTAAGCCAATAATAATAACAGGTGACATTTATTGTCTTTCCTATGAGTCAGATACCATATACTTACACGGATTATCTCACTCTGTCTCAATGCTTGCAACAACCCTCTAAGGTGTTGTTATTATCCTCATTTTACAGGTGAGAATGCTGAGGTACAGAGAGATTAAGCAACTTTCTCAAAGTCACACAGTAAATGACAGAGATGGGATTTGAACCCACGGGATGTGGTCAAGTTACCATCCATAAAACTAACTAATTAACTAACATTAAATCTCCTGTCTTCCCATAGGACTCCACCAATTCTCTTGAGTTCTTGCCCAGACCACTGGAGGGAGTCACCCCAGAGCCTTAGACCTGCAGCCATCCCCAGCCCCACTGCCTGGCAGAGAGGTTCATGAGAAGTTGCAGTCCCTTGAACTCTGTTTCTGATTGGAGTATCATTATTTCTATTGAAGTTCCTCAGAACAATGGTGAGGGTCTCTGAGTAAAGGTCTAGCTGCATATTTATGGCTAGCTGGAGCATGTGAAAGAATGTCCAGGTTATGCACTGACAGGCCCGATGAGAGTCCTATGAACGTGAAAGCTGATGCATCCCTAGGTGCATGAGTTAGGACTGATGTCTGGTCCTCTGGGCTAAGACTTCCAGAACTGGAGAGACCAATGGCTATCTTTTGACCTCCCAGATAGCATGCCAGATATGGAAAGCACAACCCCTGAAGAGTGAAAATGTTTTGAGGTGCAGAAGCTTGAGACACCCTCCCAGTTTGTTGGGAATTAACAAAGGGAGAAGATTTTTAAGTTTAACGCCATTCAAGTTTTTTTCTGCTTTTGTACCGCGGAGACTTAGTATAAGGTCTCTAGAGGAACAGGGACGTAAAGCGATTATTAATGAATCAAAAAGCAAAGGAGAGCTGGGCTAACATGCACCCTTAGCAAAGCTGTCTTGCTTGTGACTTAAAAGAGGAGTTTGGCCCAAATGGGAGGACATTTCAATG